CATGATTATTTTATCTCTAGCATATTCTAAATGTTTCATTGTTACATATTCAGCATCATTTATAGCAGCTCTTAAAGCTGCTTGATTTACCTTTTAAAATTAAGCTCATAATAATAAAATTAACTTGATCTAAAATTAGTACTTATTTTCAAATGAATACCATATTCTCTATATCAGCTCCAGTAAATCCAGGAGTACACTTTGCTAAATAGTCTGCATCAACCTCTTGTGTTAATATTTTTGATAAATATAAATCAAAAATTTCCTTCCGGCTTAAGTAATCTGGTATATCAACAAGAACTTCAACATCAAAACGACCGGGTCGCATTAATGCTTTATCTAAATCATCCCGTCTATTCGTCGCACCTAATATTATAACACCTTCGTTCTGAAGAAATCTGTAAGTACAAAGAAATATATAGCTATTAATGATAATAAATGTACATAAAATCGATATATAAGGTCATAATTTATAAATCATAAGTAACAAAATTTAAAATTTGAACTTTATTTCTTCAGAAAAAGAAGAAGGAAAATTAATAGGAGAAAGAAATGAATGAATATAATTAGTACTACTTTGTCATCCTACACTCTTTTCTTTAACTCTAATATAAGGAAACATAATATGCTTACTATATTATACATATTGTTTATATTGTAGATTCAGTCTCCTAGTTTTAATGCACATGAAATAAAAACATATCTTGAGAAAATACATTAAGAAAGTAGTACGAAATTGTTGAACTTGTAATACATATATTATTTTTAAAAAATTTAAAAAGATAATCATTAATTTCTTTATCTTTTCTTCTATTAATTTCCTTTGCTTTCGCATATAACCAATATTAATTTTCAGAATTGTTCCATATTCTACAGGATAAAGAGATAAAATTTTTTATTTACCCATCCATTTCCGTAAGTAACTGATTTACTGTTTGATTCGCATATGGATGAAGAGCTGAATTTGTTCGTTTTGCACCAACAGAATCAATTTCATCTATAAATATTACGGCAGGTGCTTTTTCTTTTGCTGCTTCTGAAAAAGAATAACAGATCATGAATAAGTAATACAAATTTTTCAGGACACTTTAATTGAAATTGCACATCATGATATAAATTACATATGATATCAAAATAAATTCTCTTTTCTTCTCTTTAAATTTTTATTCAAAATGAAGATAATTATGAATATCTTTTGTAGGGCATATTGTTTTATAATTCCCAAAATAAAAAATTTTTTTGAGGTAATACACACTTGCTAGTTAAGGCTCATTAAATCATGATACAGATAAAAAAAAGAATATAAATAGACAACATTAATGACAGCATTAGAATGTTGTGATCATAACATTGAAATATAAATAGCATGTACAATTCCTAATATACATATATAGTACATATATCGAACTAATATGGCTTATAAATAATCAATATATATTAATTATAATAAAGAAAAAGTGTAGAAGAAAAAGAAATTGAAAACCATTAATAATATTTCTTTAGAAGTTTTTTTTGTTTTATTTAATGTATGATTTAGAATGTTTCTTTAATATTTATTTTGTGTTCGCAATATTTTGTTTATAACTTACTAAATAAATCTCTCATTCTTCGTGCACCTTGTCCTACTAAAATCTCTTCAAATTCAGGTCCAGCAGCTTGAAAAAATGGGACACCAGCTTCGCCAGCTACTGCTCTAGCTAATAATGTTTTTCCTGTTCCTGGTGGTCCTACTAGTAATACACCTTTAGGTAATTTTGCACCAAGTGCAATAAATTTTTCTGGATTTTTTAAAAATTCAACTATATCTCTTAATTCTTGTTTAGCTTCTGCAACCTAATTGTACATAAACAAATGAATATACAGTATTTAGTAAAATGAAAAATCTTATTAGATTTTATTCATTTTAGAATTTATTAGATTTTAGATATATTAGAATCTTTTAAATAATTTACTTACTCCTTTAACGTCATTAAAAGTTATGTCTGTTATTTCTGGTTTAAACTTAACACCATCCATTGGAAATCTTAATCCACTTCCCACAACATAAACTGCAATATGAAAGGTATAAGAAAATTTACATCATTATTAGTAATCTAAAGCATATTAATATATTTTAAATACTCCTTTAATGCTCCTCTATCACTTTAATAGTTAATATTATATAGTTAATATAATACAGTTAATATTAAAAATACTTCTTTCTTTAGTGAAATAATTTTTCACTGACTTTCAAATTATTATGGTTATTTATTTGAAATAATCGATAATATTCAATATTAACATATATTTTTTTAAAATGCTAATGACAGATAGTAACTACAAAAAAATATATTAAAATAAAGTTATCAAAGAAAATAATGATAGAAATTGTATTATACCTCTATAATACATACCTCCATACCAAAAGATGAATAATACAGTTCCTGTTAATAAACTACATAGTATTTTGAACCATCCAAAAGCTGAAAATGTTTGGCGTTTAATTCCTGCTTCATATCCTTCAATAAAAGCTAATATAACTCTTTTATATTCTTCTATCGATGTTTGACTATTAAATAAATTTTTTATTGTTAACAAGTCCTTTTCTTTCAGAGCATGTACTAATCCTGTATTCTATGAAGTAAGAAAGTTATTCACAAAGTATATAAAATATCAATATAGATAATAAATAATACATGATCTTACTGTTCCAGAGAAATGACCAAACAAGTTTTTAAATTTATTTATAAATGATGATTGTTTTTCTAATTCAGTAGAGACATTACGTTTTGTTCTAAAACTACGAATTTGTACATAGTGATTAAATGAATTTTTGTTACAAAAGGTACATAATGTTGTATGATATTGTTTCGATGGTAAATACATAGCAGGTAAAATAATTTCTTCCATACATCTTTTATATAGATATTTGTGTTTGTTTTTTGTGGAATTTAATCCTGATGCATAGACTTTCCACTTATTATTTTTTTCTAAATTTCTCTTAAAAATTTTCATAGAAACTTGATCTAATGCTACCATAACGTTATTTGTCCTTATATCAAACATTGTAATTACATCAGACATGTTTAATTTGCCTATTAATGTATCAATATAATTTTTAGTAGCCTAAAATAAAAAGTAAACTTAGTAATTTGCATCATTATAGTTTTATGTAATACATTACCAAATTATCTTACGTCTGACAAATTACTGGAAGAGATATCATTCATAGATTTTTTCAATTCATTTTGTCTTTTAACTTTAACTGAAAATGATGTAGATTTTGGACTAACTACTGAAGTTAATTGCGTCAGATGATATAACACCTAGAAATAATTCTCTTTTTTAGAAATAAGAAGTTTTAAATATTTTGCTCTAATTATTTTCAAGATTGAATAAAATAAAAATGTACACATATAGAAAGTAATTTATTTTGTAATCCAGGAAATTATCTTTTACTAAAGACAGACATGAAATAGACAAAAATTTCATAAGTTTGTATTAATGTAATAGACATATAAGGTTATAAAACGGAAATTTTTAAAGACATTTTTAAGGAAGACATACAATATAAATTTCATGTATATACTTGTTATGTCATCAAATGTAAAAGACTATCTAATAAGCTATCTATGAATTTTGGAAACTTTTGTAGCTATATAAATATGATAATACAAACCTGATTGTGAGGTTGGAAAGAAAACATTGCAGTTCAACCCTATATTTAACACATGTAATAAGATAAATGGAAGTATAACACTTTTAAATAAAACTAAATTCAACTGATAGTAACGTTTTGTTGCATATCCAAAAAGATTAAATTACATGACATCAATATCTCCTATACGAAATATAGTTTTAATGCTGCAAGGTAACGGAAATGACTGCTATCTACAATATAAACTTCCGAATGTTTAAAATCAATTGAGATTAGATTTAAGATTGCGTAAAACACATCGAGATTTTTTTGGAAAATACATATTTTCCCTAATTCGAGATTATATTATGTGTGTAACAACAGATTTTATTTTATAGTTAGATTGTTGGATTAATAATCGCATTTCAAAACAACTATTTTGCGACCCTTATGCGTACTTCATTTATTTTACGATACAATTTAATTATGTATAAAACAACTTATTTTACATAACACTTTCAATATTATTTTAAATAAATTTCCTTTATCGTCGAACCTATGTACTATTTTCTTATATATTATGAAAATATTATTAGCTTCTGCACTTGCTTGATACACAAATTTTGATTAGTTTATTATATTTTAAAATGGATTTCTTCTTAACAGAGAATAAATATATTATAGGAACAGTTAATAAAATAAATAATACAACGTAGAAAAAAGATATATTCTTAAAGATAAATACCAGGAACCATATTTATTTCTTTTCCATTAAATTACATTAACATTTTAGATAATACAAAACTAAAATTGAATTTTAGAAAAGTTTTAAAAATTTTGTTTCCTAACTTTTAACAAGAATTTTTAATATTGTCATTATTTAGTATATTTGAATGTACAACTTACGTCATTTTATTAAATATACAAATTACAGTTTTAGAGTATTACATAAACATAAGCACTGATATAGATTTGTTAAAATGTTTAGTAAAATGAAATGAAATATTTCTATAAAAAAATGTTTGGCATAGATAATTAAACATAAATATGCAATTTCACTAGATTATATGACTACTTCATATTGATTTACTTTTTATCATTTATTAAATATTATTAAATAGCTACTACTATATATTTATATTTTACAAGGAATTTGATAAAACTAAATTTACAAAAATAATAAGAGGAACTTCTAAATTAAATAAAAACATTGTAATCAAGAAATATAATTATTTCATTATTGGAAAAGTTAAATGTACGGTTATACAAAAACAGTATCGTGAAATAATTCCAAAATGCGAAAACATTCTATAAAGTACATAAATTTTCATTATATTCTATTTTTTATATTAATTAATTTTCATGTTTCTATTTAAATATCATGTTTAAATAAATTTTGTATATATTATAAATATTTTACAATTACTTGCTATGTAATTTTTCAATACAAACACTAAGCTCTTGAAGACATTCCAACAAATTATTCATATTAGCACTTGAATGTCGTAAACCTGATTGTTCTCCACCAATTCCTTGTCTTTGACCTAACTCAAAATGAAGTTTAGCTAATTGCTCTTGTTGTTCTCGTATTTCTGTCATTTGTTCCATACTACAATCCTTTCCTGTATTTCAATTCCATATTATTCCAATTTTATATTTATTCTGCTATATTGAAAAGCATATTTCACATACCAAATGCTCGTAAATTACCACTATGGAAATCTTCCAGAAGTTGTAATAAAGCTTGTTCCATACGACGAACATCAGGAACCTCTGACAAAAAGCAATGATGTTTGCATGGTGCCATAGCTTTATTTAATGACACCAAAACACAACCAAAAAATATAATGAAAACATAACAATACTTAAAACAGAAAAATATATGAAAAGATTATAATATATTATTAATTAACAAAAATATAAATTTTCGTATTATTAAATATAATATGTAACATTATATAACTGAAAATTGAATAAAAAGACATTATTTAAATGTTGTAAATATTTGTAGGATACTTACTACTATATTCTAAATAATATTTTTAAATGTTACTATGAAGTACAAAGTTACCTCTATGTTGACGATTTATTTTTGGTAGTTCTGGTCGATTTGGTTTTTGCTTTTCCTTCTCATTCATATACATTAGACGTGACTGATTACCATGATTTGAAAGATTCACAGCACGGCCAGAAACCATAGATCCTTGACTTGTTGCCTGACCAGAACTTCCTTTACTAATAATTGGTGATGTTTGTACATTAGTTTCCCATAATACTTGTTGCTGAAATAATAAACTCTTTTACTATTTTTATTGTTTTATTTAAATCACCTATTTATCCATTTTTTTGAAATGATACATTTGAATTTATGTTTTAGTAGTCAAAATTAGGTAACTAATACTAAATTCATACCGATATATGAGAACTATGTGTATCATTTTTACTTGGATGATGAGATCTTGCTGGTGTGGAAGGTGGTGTAGCTTCTCCACCTTGACTTAATGGTTCTTCACATTCTTCTTCTTGAACCAATTGTTGCAATTCACCGCATCCAGACTTTTCAGTCATCCTGAAAAATTCATTAATTTAATCAAAATTTATATTCTTGTTGTTATTAAATTTAGATATTTGTAGAATTTTTATATATATCAATGAATACCTAAATTTAAATAACATTTAAATGACATTTTATAAGAAACAGAAGAAAGAAGATATTTAAATACTTGTATATACATACGCAATAGATCTAACCAAACCCTTTTTTAAACTTGATATTTTTTATTGTACTAACATCAAAAATATTATTATAATTTAAACATGTTATTACACATTCACAATTATGTTATTAGTAATTGTTTTGTTTATTGACTTTTTTTCTAAAGTACATAGTATTGTAATGTTTTTAATGTATTGCCTCCAAATTATAAAAGCATTTCTACGAAATATATTTTATTGTATGTATAATCTTCCTTTTCCTTCAAAGAATAAAAAAAATTGAGAAAGAAACGTTTTACGAAAATAAACAGTTACAGAATTAATTTTTCATGATTATATATTTTCGATTGTACTTTGTATATCTTGACATGCATATAATATACAAACAAATCATCTGATTATCTGCAATTTCTGATAAGTGATAACTGGCATTTATATACCTATATATAACTTAAATTTTATGTTGATAAAAAATGTTGATTAAGTGTTGTAACTTTTAACAAAACATTTACAAATACGTGTCATATACGCTATTTCATATACGATATAATTAAAAACCATACATGGTTTATTCATTACATTTAGCATAGTGACACTTGAAAATGTTTCTACAATTCATTTCTAACCTTTATATCAAGAAAATTATGACAATGTAGTGCGAAGGAAATTTTAATTAAAATACACATCTTAAGAAATTTCATGTTAAAAGTGAATATAATATTTATATTATAAAATGAAAAATTATATATACATATATATGTATATAAATACAAAGCTATTTTAAAGATACTCAAGTTGATTTATATCATAATAATAAGAGAAATGATAACATATCTTTATGTTATAGATATAACTAATATTTCTATGATTGCAAGAATTACTTGGTGAAACTTGGGATGCAAAAAGTTTAGCAAGAACAAGCAAAAGACAATCTGATGATTCATCTTATTAAAATAAATAATTATAAAACTATACGATGTCTAACTCAAAACTTGTTTTGAATATTATAAGGTAGAATATTATTAAATATTATCAATATCTTCCTGGGAGCTATTAGTAAACATAATTTATTTACTTAGTCTTGAAGGAATGATCATGAGGTTTAATGTGACGTCAGATATGACTATCAATAACATAAAAAATATTGCAATAAAACATTTCTATGGTGATGATAAATCAAGAAGTCCAATTAACTTTCGTTTAGTTCATACATCTGAATTCAAATGGCTTATAGATGATCATAGTGTAATTAATGAAAAAGTTAATGAAAATGGTAAAACAATTTGCTAAAATTCTGTGCTACATCAGCAGATATATTAAGCAAAATAAAATGATTATCTTTATTACAGATGAATTAATGTTAATAAAGATACGTCCAATACCCATAAATGAAAATTTATCTGCAGAAATTTTGAAAGGTCCAGATGAAGAAGTAGTACTACAAATAACAAAAGATTTACCTATACGTAATCCACCTAAACCTATTCCATTTCTTCCTTGTCCTGCAGATGTAAATATACACATACATGTATAATTATTGCATTTTCTGTATTGAGAAAATTTACGTTATATATTTTATATTATAGTTTCAGAATGAAATACGAAAAATTTTAATTACACTTGTAAAAGCATCAGCAAGGATTATATCGTATAGCCCAGAAGCACAAAAGTTTTATGATATCTTAAAAGAAAAATTAGAGGCAAGATGTAAACCAAATATTAATACAAGTGCTGCAAAAACTCTCACAGAAATGGGTTTTTCTGAAAAAAAGGTTCTGAAAGCTCTTCACTTACGAAAGTACGCAATCTACTATTTAATTTAATGTTCAGGAATATTAATAAATTAAAAGTAATATTTTATGCTCTGATTTTTAACTTATTACAGATCAAATATAGTAGAAGCATTAGAATGGTTAGCAGAACATCAGAATGATCCAGAAGATGATGATGATGATTACTTAGATTTGATATCTATTGAAAAAGGTAATAATAAAGATGTTGCAGTTTCCAGTTCATCTATTTATATATCAAAAATGTCTTAGGGGAAACAGGTATTGATTTATTTGAAGGAGCTAATTATTTAGATAATATTTAATACAAGTCAAGTACAAATAAATCTTCTTGATTTTATTCTTGAGAAAATTTTAAATTATGACAAGCGTATATTTTGAAAAATCATTTCATTTTTTGCTATATATAAAGTACTATAAATATTATATAATCATAATGTAGTTTTTCTTTATAAATTATATTCTTATTCAATTTCATATTTAAAACATTCATACATTAATTCATACATATTTAAAATCATCCATGTAATTGTTAAAACTAAAATATATTACAATTAAAAATAAAACTTCACAAAGAGAACACTTCTTTTCAGAAATTTTTTTTTAATAATATAACTAAGATATTTGGATTTATAAAATAATAATATATGTAATAAACATATTAATTGAAAATGATTAAAATTATGATAAATTATACGTTATTATTACATGTTGATTTATAATTGTATGCAAATAAATTGATAATTATATGTAGGATGTGAAAATTTGAAGAAGGAAGAAAATGTACTCAGCATAGTAGATCATTTACTAAAAAGTTACCGTTACTATAGGAAGATGGATTTCAAACCTAGTTCTAGAGCAGTACAATCATTATCAGAGATGGGATTTGAAGAAAAGAATATTATTGAGGCACTAAAAATTACTGGAAACAATCAAATTAATGCTGTGAGTAATCTATATAAATTTAATTTTATTACACTTCAAATATATTCTTCTTTTCAGTGTGAATGGTTACTTGGAGAAAGGAGGCATAGTTTACAAAATTTAGATAAAGAACTTGATCCAGGTAGTCAAATTTATAAAGTAATCATGAATGATCCACGTATTCAACTTAGTCTTACAAATCCTAATATGTTACTTGGTAAGATTATTTTTATTAATAAATAATAAAAATTAAAAAAAATTAATATAATGAGATAATACAATAATTAATGTAAAAATGAAATTTTTAGTGTATTTATCGCTGTTAGAATCACCAGTAACTATAAGTGAACGAATAAGAGATCCTGAAGTAGGACCAGTATTGGATCACATTATATCAATATATCATGCCGAAAAACATACGATTCATATCAATCAATATGCAATTGATTTCTGATTTAAATATTATTTTGTAAAATAAATTAATATTAATATTATGAACAATATAATAATAATATAAATTATAATAAAATAAAAAATGAATATCATAAGCTTGTAGCAAAAGATTTTCTAAATGTTTTAAATGATGCTATAATAGGCATGCATATTAATGAAGCCTATTATTATGGTTATATATTAGATATATTTAATAGACTTATATTCATGAATCATGGATTTTATTAACATTGCTAAAAATCTATTTTATGATATGTATATTTTAACATTACATTTTTAATTTTGAGTATATATTCATATGGACATAATATATTTTTTCCAATTTTAGAAAAATATACATGAAACAGAGTATTACAACTCTGGTATTACGTATTAAAAAGTTAAATAGTTCCAAGAAGTACGGTTTACTGTCGCTAGTATCGACTTGAAATTTGACAGATAAATCACACCACGTGTTTCAACTAAATATTTTTTGTAATAATGGTTTATTATTTTACAAGTGAAGGTATTATTATTTATCACTGGCTTCATGTTTAATGTATATTTAAATTTTCTCATATACATTTTACTACTAAAAGACTAATAATATGCAGTAAGGTTAGAATGATAATTATAATTTTTAATTATAGTTGTACAACCATCGGTGACATTATTTATGGGAGTCGACCAATATGAAAGTAAGTGAAAAATTCTAAAATATATTATAATGTATAAGATACGTTCAATATATATTTTCAATATATATTTTTCTAGATGATGACCTCATAAAGTGGGGTTGGCCAGAAGATGTTTGGTTTCATGTTGACAAATATTCTTCAGCGCATGTATACCTTCGACTTCGCCTTGTAAATATTTTCTATTAAAAACATGCATGTTCTTTTATACATTTATATATGCGTATCTATATATGAATACATGATTTATAGGGTCAAACAATAGATGACATACCTAGCGTAGTTTTAGAAGATGCAGCACAATTAGTGAAAGCAAATAGTATTGAAGGAAATAAAATGAATGATATCGATGTAGTATATACAATGTGGTCTAATCTGAAAAAAACACCAGGTATGGAAATAGGACAAGTTGGTTTTCATAAAGATAAGGATGTTCGTAAAATTCATGTTGCAAAACGAATAAATACTGTTGTTAATCGATTGAATAAAACTAAACGTTCAGAACAAGTAAATTTAAGATCAGAAAGAGAACAACGGGACAGAAATGAACGGGAAGATAAAAAGAGACTTTTGAGAGAACAAAAGGAAAGAGAAAAGGCAGAAGAAAAACGAAGAAAGGAAGAAGCAGAAATGAGGTTAGACAAAAATTATGGTACATTATTGACAAATATAAATTGTTTAATCTCGTCAGACTTAACATTATTTTCTACTTTTTACAGAAGTTATAATTCTTTATTTAATACATCTAATATGACATCAAATGTAGAAAATAGTGGATATGATTCAGATGATTTTATGTGATGAAATTATTAATATTATTCGTAATTCGATTGCCTACTCACCATAGTTTGGAATAATAGATGAATATATTTAAAACAAAAAGCATATATAATTTCAAAATTAAATTTGGTTGATATTTTAAAAGAAAATTATCATTAAACATTACGAAAATCTAAAATAACAAGGTAATGTTGAAACTAATAAAATGTTAATTAAAATATTTTTAAAACTGGATTGAAGTACAAGTTTTGCACAAATTGCAAAACAATTTTTAACATTGAGTGGGTTTCTCTTATATAAATTCTATTAAGAACATTAATATGTATATTAATACATACATTAGTAAGTAAATGAATATAATATTAATCATGTATTTTAATATGTTAGTACTTATTTTATGTAAGATATTCATATAAATGATAATTTACATACCTTAGTATTATTAATAGTTGAAATCAATTACTATAAAATATATAAAATTTTCAAACATTTATTTCTATAAAGGACATTAAAAAATTATACAAGACATATTTTATTATGAAAATAAATAATAATTATTACTATAATAATGTAACATTAACAGCTTCCAATGCATTAACTATCCATGGGGGATATTCCTTGTTTGGAAACAAATCTAACATGAATTGCTGTATAAATTCTGGGAATCTTTGTTCTTGGATACTTTGTCTAATATCTTTCATCAATTTCATTTGGAATGCAATATTATGAACAGATAGCAAATGACATGCAACTGTTTCTACCGTTACAATATGATGAAGATAAGCACGTGTGTATGTTTTGCATGTACTACATTCACACGATTCATCTATTGGCCTCATATCTTTACGATATTGAACTTGTTTTAAATTTAATTGACCAGTACGTACCAAAGCACAACCAAACCTCTAAAAAAGTAATATATGCATTAATAGATTTCATTTTACCAGCTTGTTGCACTTTGTGTATATCCTTCTTTAATTCAAACACATTATCCGTAATTAATTACCGCTGTTCTTGTAGGAAATACACAGTCAAACATATCTATTCCCAAAGCACAACAAATAACTAAATCAATAGCAAATCCAACACCCATTAAATAACGTGGTTTAGTTTTTGGAAGTATATTTGTAGTAAGGTGTACCATTCTCCAAAAATCATCTTTAGATTCTCCACCACTAGAAATATTATTAATCATAAAATAATCTTTCTCTTTCCCTAAATTAATCCATCTAAATTAATATTTTACCTTAATCCACCTACAGCATAGCCATTCACTTCACGTTTAATTAATTGATTTGCACATTCTGATCTAAGTTTAGGATCAAGACCTCCTTGTACAATTGGAAATATACTTTGCGCATTTGATCTCTGATGTGCTTTTAAACATCTATCTAACCATCTAGTTGTTCTGTAAATAATATATTGAGTATTAAAAATTATTTTGATAGGAATTAATAATATATTATATACGTAAATGCAATAATATTATTTATAAATTATATATATAAGTGCAATTTTACCTATGCATTGCTTCTTCTACTCTTGGTCCTGTTAATGTAGTTTTAACAACATCATCAAGTTGCATAATTATATCTGCTCCTATTATGTTTTGTATTTGTATAGAATGTTCAGGTGTCAACATGCAATCTGTTCCTGTAAAGTAATATTAAAGTATTTTATTTGTATTTTTACATAATACAATATAAGTACATATTGTTCTTATACAATGATTACCATTATATGGTGATTTAAACTTGACACCTTCTTCCGTAATTTTAGCAAGTTCTAGTAACGATACCATTTGAAAACCACCAGAATCTGTTAATAATGCTCTTTTCCAATTCATAAAGTTATGTAAACCACCAGCTTTCTGCATTATATTAAGACCCTACAAAATCCAATTTTTATCAATAACATATTTGTTCACTTTATTTGAATATAAGTAACTCAATTATTTTATAACTTGAAGAAATATTAAAGAAAAGCTTTATGCTTTATATATTTATATATATTACATACAGGTCTTGTTCCAAGATGATATGTATTTCCAAGTATAATTTGACAATTCAATTGTTCTAATTGTTGAGGTAATATGCCTTTTAAAGTACCCTAAAACATTAATATTGCTATTAAAATGTATAATGTGACTGATTTATATATATCTATAATATGTCTGTAAGTAATAGACTAGTAATAAACAATTAAATCTTATTACAAGTTTAATGATATGCCAAATATGATTTGCAATGTCATAAAACATTAATCTCTTTTTTTTAATTATATTTAACTTACCTGTGTACCTACTGGCATAAATACTGGTGTATCCACATGATGATGAATGAGAGTCATCCTACTAGTTCTAGCTTTTGTAGTTTGACATTCGTAAAATATTTCGAAAAGTAGTGGTGATTTTCGTTGTTGTAACATTTTCTTCAGTTTAATAATTTAGCAAATAATGTCAATAATGTATTTTGTTTCATATACATACATAATTAATAAAATGTTTATAAAACTGTCGCTTATATCACAATTTACAATAATAATAATAACTTATTGTATCAAACATAATTTAATTTGTTTTATTGTAATTCTAAATGTGTTATATATAATTCTAAAGTTGTTCAATATTACTTAATATCCTTTACTTTGAACTATAAACTATAGCTGTAAAATTCCAGTTCAAAGACTCGTTTATATATATATATATATGTATATTTATTATATATCAGTATTCATCAACTTACTTTCCATGTGTAATATTAATCTACTCTACAATTTCCTTACGATAATATTTATTATCATCTTTTAACTACGTTAAGTACTTTTGTACAAGGAACACATTTCAGTGCTATTTATCTTACTTTTGCGATTATGTAAATATGCCCACATGTAATAGTAGCTAATAGTAAAATGTTTATACATTACATTGCAAAATAAAAATGAAATTTTCTAGGGCTTTTCCTAGATTGAGGTTAGATTTAGGTTTAGCTCTGAAGTAAAATTACAAATATGTATAATTGATTGCAATATTTTTTTTCGTGATATTTTGTTTATTTAAGCAGGCCTTTTAACAATATCAAAGTTTGAGAAAGAAATTGGAAATACTGACCAAATTGCTCACTATTACCAATTTAAATATATAAAGTAAGTCCATAATAGCAACACTGTCGCAGAACTTCTGCTTGTTGTAAATATCACATCATCAGTGTAGTCTTTGATTACAATGCGTTAAAATAGAATAACAATATTTATTTTGTACCCTTATCAATATTAAAACATGTTTTCATACGATAGTTACAGATTATAAAAAGTCCATATGCTAGAAATTTAATTTTCTCTAGTGAAAAATTGGTATCCTACAATTTGTGTTCTACATTTTTTGTCCTAGAGATATTATCCTTTGTTTTATAGAATACAAGTATTAAAAAATAATGCTCATACCTTGTTGGTGTTTTATATCAGGTTCACGATAAAGTTTAATGAGAGTAATTTAAAGAAGATAACAAGAAAGAGAAATTTGTATTACTTGTGAAACTATGTTGAAACCAAAAGCATTAACACAAGTACTTAGTCAAGCTAATACCGGCGGCGTAGAAAATACATTGTAAGTAAAATATTTCTTTCGTTAAATTAAGCACGATTTATATGCATGTTTTTTTAAATATAATCCAATAACTATATAATGTTATAAGATATATAAATATTAATAAACATGCAAGTGAAATCACATATATAAATTTACATATTTTTCTTATCGTTATTGTAATTAGGAAAACAAAAGTTTGTGATCAAATATTTCAAATGAAAATATATTTCAGATTATTAAATAGAGATGGTGGTTTATTAGCTTACAGTGGTTATGGCGATAAAGATGCAAGAGTAACTGCTGCTATTACAAGTAATATTTGGTCGGCTTATGAAAAAAATGGACGAAATGCATTTAAGGAAGATGAATTGCAATTCGTATTAATGGATTGTGTGGTAATGATCAAATATTAATAGATTTGATTATCAAGTAATTAATTATATAATACTTAAATTCTATGCAATTAAATGGCTTTATTAATATCTTATACGAATTAATTACAAATAAAAATATTTGCAATGTACTGCAAAAATATTTTTAGTAAAATAATATGTATATAGTTACTAGTTTTTATTGCAAATTATTGTTCAGAAATTTCAGTTGCATATTAATGAAAAGTTGTAAACAACATACGGTTATATGTTTTATATATATATATTGAAATAATACATTTGTAACATGTTTTTTAATGAAACATTTTCTTTTAGGAGGGCAAAGTCGTTATTACCGAAGTCGCTAATTTGTTGTTATGTTTGTATGCAAAAGAAAATGTGGGATTTGGTTTACTAAGAGAAAAAGCACAAGCTTTAGCAAGATACCTTGATCAACCACTAAAAACAATAGCAAATATGCCTTAATCAATGTTTAAACATATACCCAATTGTGTTGTAAAATTTAGTTTTATATTTTAATGTTTATAATTTATTGTAAAGATACTTGGTACTGTCTTGTAAATAATATATTTTCAATTAATAAAACACTTATGTAATCATTTATATATTAAAATTTATAAAAATGTGATACCCTTAGAAAATAAATCTAGCTTTGAAATCAAGTGTTAGTAGCATTTTTAAAAATATTCTTGTGAACTTCATAGAAATGAAGTTTTAAATTTTATTGTAATCGATGAAATATGTCATATATTTTTTAATAATGTAAAATATCTACATAGACAATCTTTAAAAAAATTTAGAAATTAAATATTAAATTCATATATTCATATACATTAATAAACATATGTAATGTTAAAAATAATTAATAGATGTATATGTCCTTTATAAATAGAATTGCTTTTATTTTAAATCCACAATTTGTATGTTATAAATTTTATTTATTTCATTTGCATTTATATACTTCCTCCTATAATCTTTTTCTATGTAATTTGAAATATTTATTGGTATTAAAACTTACTTTTGATGCATATAAATATTACTTTCTTTTCTAACAATAAACATCAAACATTTAATAGACTTAGAAATATATCTATGAAAGTACAAACTCTTTTACATATAGAGTTATATATACCTATGTATAATATGATAATTCTAATATCAATTAGATTAATCATACAAGTTAAACACAAGTTCACTGAATTACATTATACATTGCACAAAATGACTAACATTGGTCCTAAAATTTTCCTGTTATTTTGAGTACATAAAATAATAATTACTAGCCAAACAATAAATTTTCATTATAAGTGTTCATATTGTTACGTTTCTTATTGTAAACTATATAATTAAATTTTCATGTATTAATGTTTACCAAGTGACATATTGTGAATGTGAATCGTAATTAACTAATAATATCACTAAATTATTTTATATATGTTTAGAAAAAAATTTTTTTATGAAATTATTGTATATGTGTATATATAATATACAATTTATTATATATCATATATAACATAATTCTAACAATACCTATAACAATTTAGTGCTACGTGTAAGTTTCTTCTCATGAATAATGCTTTTAAATACAAGTATATTGTCTACAACACTTCTTTAATAGGCCTTCAACAATTGACAGCTTATGTTAATGCCTATTATAAAGTGTTTTTAATTCTATAATTATATAATAGAGATTTGTTGTAGTCTTAAATATATATAAAAATGGAAACTCTTATCTAAACAAAGTAGATGCACTGTAAATAAAAGAAGAGGAAAATAAAATAATATGTATCTTTTATACATACATAATTTTACAGTCTACCTTCCTAATTGCTTTGCATTAAATGAAGTATTATGAAATAGAAATTATATGCATATAGAAAATAATACTTAAGTAACTGAGAATTATTCAGCTTTTTTTAAATGTTTCATATGGTTTAAACTTTTGTATTCAAATCTTTTCGCTATATATTATCGTATATCAATAAACGATATAATAAATTGCTTTTGTTAAAAATTACATTCATTCTTTTTTTTCATCCACGTTATTACATCTCAAAATTAGTTTTACATTTGTAGTTATAACTTTGTATTTGATAATCAAAAGTATCATGCTAAATATACAAATATTATTTTATGTTTTATAGCGGCAGTGCGAAGGTAAGTAATTTAGATAATATTATGACAAAGATACGATTAGAAAAAAAATTATTTTTATACAACTTGTTACAAAAAGATAAACTATTTATTACTAGAGAGTATTTATATTCATTGTAGAAATTTGTATGAAAAAGATTGCCTTTATGAATGCTATTGTCTTTTAAACTATTTAGTGAACTAAAACATTACTAAATAACAATTTCTTTTCATAGCATATTAATATTAGTGATTGCGTGTATATATGTATTAATATTTTTTGGTACATTCTTTTTTAAAAGGAGAGTGTCACAGATTATAAGTGGGATAAAAAGTTTTACTTCAGTATTAATTTCTTTCATTATAAAATGTATGATCCCTTATGGAATGATTAAGCACTATTTCTATCACTACAATCCATATTCATTCTTGTTAAATGTTTGATAAATTAAAATTATGATTGGAAAAGATAAAATGATTCACTTATTAATGTGTGATACTTTCGGTTTTTAAAGCTTCACCTTGTGTTGTTGCATAATAACTATGTATCTACAAAAGGTATTATACCTTTGTATTTTCTTTTTTGTTATTATCACTGTACATGAAAAATGAAGCAATGAAGATCTTGTGTGAACTTAAACTTTTACATGTAGAAATAAAAACAGTCTTCATCTTGTTGCTGCACAGTTGATTTAATTAAATGAAGCAAGAAAAGAAAAGGACGGATTTAGAGATTACATGCGAGAACCCTTCTGCTGCAGAACCTAAAATATAATTTAATGATTCAAGCTTAGTAAGATTATATTATGAGGTTCATATTAAAAATTATATTCCATTGAAAAAAAATATAAATATGAATGTAAAATCTTAAGTAAAATATGCGAATGTCATTTATTTTTAGCATTGTTCAGCCTCTGCATTTTGTTGTATAAATTATAATAACACAATATCTTCATATTTTGAAGAAAATATTTTGATGAATATACAATAGAGTAATAATAAATGAAACCTTATTATATGAACTGATTTTGTATATTATTTAATTATTAAAAATATTGTACTATAAATTCAATGTATATTATAAAAGCTTTCAATTTAAAAAATTTCTATTGTAAATATAATACTTTCAAAATATAATTCAAACACATGCATTAATAAATGTTGCAGGACAACAGGGTAGAAAGTAACCAAACCAATAAAAGAAAAAATTCTTTATTTAGTGTACAGCATGCAGTACAAAAAAACCATGATGTAATACATACAGCAAATATCAGAGGCAGAACATGCTCATGCAAATTGGCCCCTGAATTAATGATATATGTTTTGAGAAGAAAAATATAAATAATTAATTAGTATTATATTATAATTTAAATAAATTTAAGTCATAAAAAAGGATAAATCTATAAATATTTTTAATTTTTATATAAAAACAATATAAAATGTTTTTTATAAAACTTAGTAGCATATATTTAATACCAACTATAAGGTACTTTTATATTATCTTGCATCATAAAACAAAGTATTCATAATGTGTGCCTAATTAGTTAAAAGATTTATAAATAGAGATTTAAATATATGTGACTTCATTTACATAAAACTATAAAAATTTCCTAACTATAAACGCTTTTTTTGAAATGGTATAATTCCATATTTTATTTATATGTATTCCAATTTTTTATTAATTATAATCTTTAGTAATAAAATATAAACATAACTGTTGACATTAGTAATACGATTTCATGTTACAATTATGACAAAATAAATAAGAAATAGAAAGAAAGTAACATAATTATTTAATAAAATTATGAACAAAGATTATGTATAATTGCTTTGGTTAAAAGAGTGACATAAGAATTTTGAATGCAATAATGATACCTTAACACGATCCGTTGATTCTTGTTCCTTACTATTGAGTTGACTGGCTCCATATTCTCGACTGACCACACATAAAAATTCAGCATGATCGTTATTTCCATAATTATACTGAGATCCTATATTGATTAACTAAAATAAATAAGAGTATAATTTTAA